GGTGTTAGTATCTACACCGAAACACTTGCATGATAACGCTGTTAGTATCTACACCGAAACACTTGCATGATAACGGTGTTAGTATTTACACCGAAACACTTGCAGGATAACGGTGTTAGTATCTTCACCGAAACACTTGCATGATAACGCTGTTAGTATCTTCACCGAAACACTTGCATGATAACGCTGTTAGTATTTACACCGAAACACTTGCAGGATAACGGTGTTAGTATCTTCACCGAAACACTTGCATGATAACGGTGTTAGTATCTTCACCGAAACACTTGCATGATAACGCTGTTAGTATCTTCACCGAAACACTTGCATGATAACGGTGTTAGTATCTTCACCGAAACACTTGCATGATAACGCTGTTAGTATCTTCACCGAAACACTTGCATGATAACGCTGTTAGTATTTACACCGAAACACTTGCAGGATAACGGTGTTAGTATCTTCACCGAAACACTTGCATGATAACGGTGTTAGTATCTTCACCGAAACACTTGCATGATAACGGTGTTAGTATCTACACCGAAACACTTGCATGATAACGCTGTTAGTATTTACACCGAAACACTTGCATGATAACGGTGTTAGTATCTACACCGAAACACTTGCATGATAACGGTGTTAGTATCTACACCGAAACACTTGCATGATAACGGTGTTAGTATCTACACCGAAACACTTGCAGGATAACGGTGTTAGTATCTACACCGAAACACTTGCATGATAACGCTGTTAGTATCTACACCGAAACACTTGCATGATAACGGTGTTAGTATCTACACCGAAACACTTGCATGATAACGGTGTTAGTATCTACACCGAAACACTTGCATGATAACGCTGTTAGTATCTACACCGAAACACTTGCATGATAACGGTGATAGTATTTACAACGAAACACTTGCATAGTAACGGTGTTAGTATCTACACCGAAACACTTCCAAGAGAACCAACCTTCTTCTAATTATCACTTAAAGAAGTTATTCAACATGTTTCTCTTTTCACATCTGCTTACTTTTTTTAACATCTGTTTTCTATTTCTTTTTTCAACATACTTTACTATTTCAACATATCTTTACTATTTGATCCTATGTTTACTCCCGTTTATTGAGAATATCTCTTTACCATATTTCCCAGGATGCAAAACCGGCATGATATATTTAAATGCTCAGTCTGTCGATGTAAGCTGATAAGGTGTTCTTCGTTTCTTGTAAAAAGATTTGGTGTCATCTTGTGCTAATTGACCCACCGTCAGACATCACACTACAGGATTTACACCTAGGTGCTTCCCGAGGCCAGAAAACAGCGACATTTACTTAGGTGCGTCGCCAAACCTCAAACAAAAAATGTTAAAGTTAAGCTCTCCTCTCTCAACGTGCTGTCCATACAAACTGACAATGGCATTCCTTCCACGAGGTCCCGTCAGGAGAAATGACCAGGTCATATACCTGTAGGGACAGTCGCGTCTCAGTGCTACTGGGGATTCCGCAATCGGCGAGTGAGTGCGAGTGTGAATCGGGTTTAACGCCACAGTATTTCACTTCTGTCATATTTCAATATACACGTATGTGTGTATACTCGATAATGCAGGGGCCATCAAAGCCCCGATTATGATGAGTGTGTGAGTTAAATTCAAATCTTAGCGCTCGCTACTGCTACACCAAAAGTATGAGGACATCTCATTACAGGTCACGTCAGAACGACCTTTCGCGAACTTTGACCGACCAATGAAACGACTAACAGGAAGTCGACATTTGCCAATCAGAAAGTAGTTTACGCAACTCGTCCTTTAAAGCTAATAATTGTGCCCGATGAGCCCTTAATTCAGGAATACGAACACGAAGACGCGCCCAGCCGAGAGTTGCACTTCAATCTATTAACTACTCCGGCCTTGACAAGAAATGAGTGTCCGAAATCAGCGCAAACAGGTTTTTTCTGCATGTGCTGTGAAAATCATGAGAAATTGTACACCATGCTGAAACGGTAAAAAAAAATTATGTTCGTTAAGAAACTTCTAAGCTCAGCAAAATCCGTATAAACTTTGCAAAATTTCTGCTCTTATCAGAAAATAACAATTAGCTATAGGGGTGGTGGTGCCCTGATTGTTGACAGAAATCTGAAATTGTATCGGTTTTTTAGTTTTGCTAGCGATAAGACATATGTAGCCTGCTTCTCAAGTGATACGATTTTGCAGATCATTTGAGTGGATACGTAGCAGACACTCATATACATATGTTTAAAATAAGGGGTCAAGGGTATGGTTTGCTCAACACACACAATAGTAAGAGAGTGAATGAGTGAGTGTGCACATGTATTCAAGGCACGTGACACCGTCACCGCCCTCCCTGTATAATTTGGGTGCCACTGGCCTCCCTGTTTAGTTTAAATGTATTCAATCGGGTCTACCAAAAGACGTACTTGCTGTTTCCCTGTCTGGCGCTCTACATTAAGGGGCTAAAACAAGAACTGGTCGGCTCGGAGACAGTTTACTGTGTCTAAGTGGGGTATTCATGTTAAACTGCGGCATGGCATCTGAGTGAGCTAGCACTATAAATCGGCATCAGTACAGAGTAGTACAAGCAGCCACAGCCACACACGTGCACGCACGTCGCTATATAATGTAAGTACAATAATCTTCGAAGCGCCGTTAAACCCCATTTCACCTCACCTCAATCGGGTCTACTCGGGATATTTGACCGAACGGATGATAATTATACTAGGGGACGTAACTCTTATAATATAAATTGCCTTCTTGTAACTTACTTAATCGAGGTTTTTCATATACTGTTTATAGCACGAATTTAAATAAATTGCAATATTTATGGATTATTGCGAAATCATAAAGTAAAATGCGGCGATAAAAGGTGTGCTGAAAAGTTTGAAAGTATTTTGATCTAAATATGAGCCCTAAAACCAACAGGTGGTGGGACCACGAGAGTGCTATCAATATAACCAGGCACTATAGAAGACGCATAAATTCTCGGACATAACAACAGAGTATAATCAAGCCGGATGTAATATTATCAACAACGTGAACAACACATACATAAATCACCACCAAGAAAGAAACGGACAGGTCATTGCCACGGGGCTACAGATTGTCTACTGCACATAAACCAGGGAGCAACAGAAACACTCTTCAGTTGATTTTATTATATGATTGATTGTCAGTTGAGAATATCTTAAGTTAGGGATATTTTATCTTAAAAAGGAACTGTACTGGCGCTTGGTCAGCACTCAAAGAATACTTCTACATATTTTTGGTTTTGTTTGTTGCTTGTAGTCTTATGTTTCATAATATAGTTTGATTTAAAACTTTTAAATGTTAAAATACATAATTCGCATGATACACAACTGCTGATAGGTATCTTAGAGATCATAGCTTTGAAATTAATATATTTGGATTTTTTTTGGTACAAATGTACATTTCAAACACGTGAAGGGTTACATGGATGCAAATTCGTTTCTAACCCCAGTCTTCATTGAAATTATGGGAAAATTTGTCCAGGTGTACGAAGTGTGAAAATCCAGAAATAATTTACATCTTCTAATTTTGATACTATTATGTCAAGTGTGGACAAATAGGCTTCAAACAATTAGCTTGCTTCCACAATAATGGCATTTCTCATTTACTGAATAAAAGACTGGACGTCAGTGTAAGCACCAGATTCGTAGTAAAAGTAACTGTTTGCGTTAGTTGTGTTTGGGGTTAACATAAAGTTACATATAGTAAGGTAAAACATTCTGAAGGTGACTTCAATGAAGACCACCATACACGTACAGCGCGCAAGTCATTTTAATGTGGATCTAACGTTAAAATCGTCACATATTGTTTTCTCAGCTTGAATTTTGAAGTTGCTGTTTGTTCCAGGAAGAGTGAAGATCTATAAGAAGATCTCGGGGGACAAATAAAGTCATCAAACAAACGACCTGTACACTGAGACCTCATTATGCGATCTTTGGGTAATCATACAATATGTTTGCCCACATTTAACACCTAACGAACAATACAAACTAATATTACGACATGGCGGAGTTTGCTATACACAGACAACCTACGAGAACAAACTGATCTTAGCTAAGACTAGACTGGTGTAACGCTTGACATGGACTTACACATCTCCTCGGTTTTATATAGAGGTCCGTGACTAGTCGAACGCTAAGCTCGCTTTGTTTCATTACGCCATACTTTTGCAGTCCTAGACATTCGTACGCCATTGTGGTTAAGATTGTAAAACGGAGCATATATAGTTTGACACTTACTGTACAAATCTAGCAACCCCTGACACAGACATTAAAGGTGCCTAGTTTATCGAAATGCGCTTTCAATGAGTGACTGAGTGGTTATTGTTTTACGACGTATTTTAGCAATATTCCCGCAATATCACGGCGATGACATCTTATATACATATTTCATACAGCAGCCATTGAATGTGTAAGCTGTTATTTGCCGCTGAAATGTATCTTGTAAAGAAGCATCTTGCATTTTCAGATTAGTTTATAAGTGAGTGAGTTGGGTTAACGCCGCTTTTAACAGTATTCCAGTTATATCACGGCGTGTTAGTTTAATGTGGGAGGAAAGCCCGAAGTGATGCAGGTCTCAGACGTTTACCACTTCGGTGAAACCCACGAGCACGGGTATGGTGCTGACAAACATAGAAACATAATCGGGGCGAACCGGGATTCGAACCCACAATCATAAGTTTCTGGCGTGCCCAAGGGACGCAACTCTGCACAGCGAATCGCGGCGCCTTAGACAACTGGGCCACCCGTGCCCCCAGTTTATAAGTGATATCAATGAATAACTGGAGACGTATCCAGACGCCACAACAGCAGCTGGATTACATGACATGCGACACGTACATTACACATACATAACATGCCATGACCATGCCTTCGTGGCATGACTAGAATTTCAGTAAAGTCATAGAAATGCATACAAATGAAAGGCATAAACAATAAATTCCAGTGTAAAATGTGTATCTTACCTGAGGAGGTCAAGGAAGGTGTCGGCGGTGTTGACTATTTTTGACGAACCAGATCTCTTTGCATCTCCCCCCTTGTAACCAGGCCCGATGCTGACAACGAGGATGATGCCGAGCACGACGGCGGCGAAGGTGGTGATGAGGTAGTAGGCCACGGCCAGACCCCCCATCTTGCCAGACGATCTAGTGTCCAGGGAGGCAAGTCCAGAGATGAGACTGGACACGATGAGAGGAAGAATCAACATCTTTAGCATGTTCATCAGTAAGTCTCCGGGGAACTTGAGGTACATCAACTGTCGGTAATCAAACTTTGGTTCCACGGTCCGCAGCGCTGCCCCGATCCCCACTCCAAGACATAAAGCCAGGATCAGAAGGAATATCAAGAGATTCTTCCTGAAGATGCGCAAAATCCTTCTCCCCATTGAGGGAGGGGGTTCAACAACCTCGGCAGTTTGGATGTCTACGAACGCTGGGGAGAACTTCCCCTTCTCACCGTTGATTTTACTGTCTTCCATTTTGGAGTTGTGAAGTCTAATATTTAATATGATTTGTGTCTGATTTTCTAACAGTAAAGAAATTTCAGGTCAGCTAGACCTGAATCTCGGTTCTCCTTCCGTGGATCGGAACTGTTCCCCGAGTTAAGTCCGTTTGACAAGAGGCGAGCAAGTGGAGTGACAACCGTCAACAGTCACAGGTAACCCCTGGGTAAAGCCGTTACCTGGTGAAACCAACCAATCGACAGTAAGGGTTTCTAATGTATGTCGGTCTACACGCAAGGAAACATCATGGCCACATTTTATTGGCCCTCGGCTTGGATTGTTAAGTCTGAAGCAAATATTGCCCCTGTCGAGAACAAGCACAAGGGCTTGCAAATGTAAATATGTGTACGATAGGCTGACCACGCCGGCTTCAAGGCAGAGGAGGATTCAAAGTGCGAAGCTGTAAACAATAAATTATCATTATAATTTAATATCTCCTTTTCTACATTCCGATAAGGAATAACCTGTCATATAAAGTGAAATAGGACCTACCTGTACTGATGGAAATGAATAAGGGCACACTTAGGTTTAGACACCGTAAAATGATATGCTATCATGGGTTCCCAGCCTCATCTACCAAACACGCTTTGACAACATTGCACACAGACACGTCTCATGCTGACATTTGTATGCGCTATTTCAAATGAACTGACAGTAAAGCTTATTTCCCTATATTTTGCATTGTTCCGTTATTCGAATCCACCAGTACGTATACATGATTTCAATGTCTGCAAGTTTCTTGGTTGAGAGAGTGAAAGATATCATTGCAACACGTACAATACAAAATAACAGTATAAGCTAACGAGTTGCTAACGCCTCAAGTAACAGTGATATATTATGAGCAATCCACCAGCCGTAAAACTATATATTCATTCGCTTACATCTGCATAACCTCACAATGTACATATGAATAAGAATAAATATAAAGATAGTGTATTGCATGCGCTAGATCACAGCGACATATTGTACTGCGTTGAAATTGCTCTTTGTGTGGGTTAGCGTTCACGACTATTATTGCGCACTCGAGCATGTTATATACTTTTGATGATGTCTTAACAGACAACTTTAAGTGCATGTTTAAATATGCCTCGGGCTAGTATTGAGCAAAATGTACTTTAATGTTTCCCTGTATTCATCTTCGATTGTCAAGGGTATTATATCCCCATTCGGTTTTGTTAATAACCTTAGACTCATTTCCACATAACTTCCTTTCGAAAGTGACTCCAACAGTATGCTTGCATATTCAAAAAAGTTAGATACAGACTCCAAATTTAATTAAGTCAGATATAGTCTGCATATTAAAAAATACCGATATGGTCTGTAACATCTCAGATCTATATATCAAGTGTAGTCAGACACTAGACGTGACACAGGATATATTGACGTATAGCCATGGTACTTACACATCAGTAGTCGTGATAAGGATATATTGACCTATAGACATGGTACATACACATCAGTAGACGTGATAAGGATATATTTACCTATAGACATGGTACATACACATCAGTAGACGTGATAAGGATATATTGATCTATAGACATGGTACATACACATCAGTAGTCGTGATAAGGATATATTGACCTATAGACATGGTACATACACATCAGTAGACGTGATACAGGATATATTGACCTATAGACATGGTACATACATATCAGTAGACGTGACACAGGATATATTGACCTATAGACATGGTACATACATATCAGTAGACGTGACACAGGATATATTGACCTATAGACATGGTACATACACATCAGTAGACGTGACACAGGATATATTGACCTATAGACATGGTACATACATATCAGTAGACGTGACACAGGATATATTGACCTATAGACATGGTACATACACATCAGTAGACGTGACACAGGATATATTGACCTATAGACATGGTACATACATATCAGTAGACGTGACACAGGATATATTGACCTATAGACATGGTACTTACACATCAGTAGACGTGATACAGGATATATTGACCTATAGACATGGTACTTACACATCAGTAGACGTGATACAGGATATATTGACCTATAGACATGGTACATACACATCAGTAGACGTGATACAGGATATATTGACCTATACACATGGTACTTACACATCAGTAGACGTAATACAGGATATATATAGACATGGTACTTACAGATCATTCGTCACGATATGGCTGAAATATTGCCGATGTGACGTTAAAATTTAACTCACTCACTCACTCACTTACAGATCAGTAGTACAGGACAGACACACATCAGTAGACGTGATACAGAATATATTGACCTATAGACATGGTACAGACACATACTAGTAGACTTGATACAGGACATATTAGCGTCTGGACGTGGTACAGACACACATAAGTATACGTGATACAGGATATATTGACCTATAGACATGTTACAGACACATACCAGTAGACGTGATACAGGATATATTAGCGTCTAGATACAGCGCAGACACACATCAGTAGACGTGATACAGGATAAATTGCTCTCTAAACACAGTACAGACAACCCATACAAATCAAATTTGGTCAGTACCTTGATGACACATATTCTGTAATACCAGAAAGAGTTACGGACTGAGAAGACAATCCTGTCTCACCCCACTGTGTCATTTTAAAACTGTGTCATTTCAGTGTTTCTAGGTTGTATACAACTGGTTTCTTTTGTGTGTTTCATATACATAGTGTATTTCTGCGTTATAAATCAGTGTCACGTCTTTGTTTTATACAACCGGTATAATTCGTTGAAATACGACTACTCCTTGTGCAGGGAACAGGACGGGAACGTCTAGACCTGCATGCTCTGTCATCTGCCCTGAACTACACCGTGACTAAGTCTACTGTGTGCATTCAAGACAGACATCACCACCTTGGGCCAGAACAGGCCTACACACCACAGTTGTGTTACGTGAACATAACAAACAGATCACACACCACACAATATATAACGGTATTAAAGGCTGTGTATAAAACTCTCTAATATGATTATATCTACATGTTTATATAACGAGATCAAACATTATGTCGACTCGCGTATATGATCGATATTTTCTCGAATAATAACGGAAGTTATTTCCAATAATATTTCACTCTCAAAACACAAAGTATATGATCACTGGACATGTAATGTATTGCTGTTGAACTTCGACATGATTTGAACCAATTATATTCTGACTTTGACAGTGAACCATTTAGCATTAATCTGAATACTAGACAAAGCAGAACACTTACTTGCAAGTACGTCCACCTCAAGCAGCGACCGAATGAAGTGATGACAAAAAGGATCCGACGTCCGTGTCTAATTGCGTCTTGTATTTGCCATAAACCTGCGTACAATGTCAGTCATGACCTGACAATCCTTATTACAATACTGAACCTGCTGGGGCACACTGTAGGATGTGACTTTTCACGGTTTTATTTGGGATAACGAGCACGTCCCGTTGAAGCTAAAGGAACCCTAAATATACCTTAAAATGGCCCCTTGCTGCAAGAACCTGGGTCAAAGGTGATAGACGCGTGGCCAGAAATAAGTGCGGGATTTTTGACATCTTTTCCCCCCAGGTTTTTGCACATGAGCACTTTCGTAAATATAAGGGAGTGTGGGTTTCGTCATTTCTTGGAATTATCATGTTTATAAAACGAATTTCGTCACTTTTTTTTGTATTTGTATTTTAATTTACTCAATATACGTGAAAGTTTAATATTCATATCGTGTACAGGGCCATGTTTTAATGTATATTTTCATTTAACAAAGCAGCAAAGGTGTATTTTGGAGTAACATACAATGCGCATTCAAGTCTGAATGAAGCGAGAAACAATGAGAGATCTTGTGGTCCTCAAAATGTTCAAGCATTTATTTTCATCACAAATGTGTGAAAATACGTGTGAATGATTTACGATATCGTTATGTTCGTGTTCAAACAATGGATCGGATTAAGCGTTGGGGCTCCTTTAATGACTCGATAGTACTATGTCATAAGCACGAGTCGCTGTAAACACTTGAGCCTCGTCAGCCAAGAAGCCTCCTGTACGGGACGACCGCAGTTTGAGACAAACCGCTTATTCATCAAAACACCACGTAACAGCCGGCATTTCGGTAGCCTGGTGGTGAAGGTATTCGTTTGTCATGCCGAAAATCCGAGTTCGATTATCGTCAAAATGCAAAATTTGTGAAGCCCGTGATATTTTTGGAATTTTGCTGGACTAACGCATATAGCAGACCCTGCAGATCCGGGTTAGAAAAGGTCTTCAGTACCCATGCTTGTCGTAAGAGCGACTAACGGGATCGGGTGGTCGAACTCACTGACTTGGTTGATCCCAACATTGCGTGGATCGATGGTGTCAATCACTCGTTTGACTGGTCCAGATTCGATAATTCACAGATCGCCGTCATATAGCTGGAATATTGCTGAGTGCTGCGTTAATAAACAAACAAACGCTCATAACGATGGGTTTGTGCGCATTAAAAGAGACATCCATTGTTCAAATTCTCAAACAGCCAGGTATATATAACTATACAGGGAACACCGGGGACGGGAGGGTGGCCTAGTTGTTAAGCGGTCGCTCGTCATGCCGAGGAATCCAGTTTGATTCCCATCGCCCTACCCACGAATACACTGCACAACAATATAAACCAAATAAAGAGTTGTTAACTAATATCTTGCTGTCATCAGCGATAAGTCCTGCAGTACTAATTGCAGTTAATTACATAGGATTAATTAGTGTTTAATTATAGCACGATCCTAGTGCTGTACAACTACGTTCGAACCCACATACAGATTCATTCTATGTAGATAATTTTACATTGTAGTTTGCTTGAATAACACTGGGGTAAGATGTGTGAAGCCCATTTCTGGTGTTCCCGCCGTGAAAGATTTACGAGTATTGGAAAGCGGCGTCATATTATATTCTCATTCTTAACCTACTCGTGTTATTCCGGGACAAGCCGAAAAGCGACTCGTGCCCCTCTCGTGGCCATTTTTTGCGAACGGGTTCCGTCAGCGCAAACAGGCATACCTAAAACAATTGTCAACTCGTTGCGTAATGGATCACACATTTTCCCAATATATTACATACATTTCAGATGCAACTTAAAGCACATCGGGACGTGCGGAATTATGCAGTATGATTGAACACATTTAACTGTGTCTTTGGTATATTTTTAGATGGAAGACATTTGTAAACTCAAAAACTATTTCTGAGAGATTTTGTCCCCCTTGTGGTCCTGCTACAACTTATATTGTACCCCTCGTGGTCCTGCTACAACTTATATTGTACCCCTCGTGGTCCTGCTACAACTTATATTGTACCCCTCGTGGTCCTGCTACAACTTATATTGTACCCCTCGTGGTCCTGCTACAACTTATAGTGTACCCCTCGTGGTCCTGCTACAACTTATATTGTACCCCTCGTGGTCCTGCTGCAACTTATATTGTACCCCTCGTGGTCCTGCTACAACTTATAGTGTACCCCTCGTGGTCCTGCTGCAACTTATATTGTACCCCTCGTGGTCCTGCTGCAACTTATATTGTACCCCTCGTGGTCCTGCTGCAACTTATATTGTACCCCTCGTGGTCCTGCTGCAACTTGTAATGTAAATTTACAGTTATTATTATGAAAATTGTAAAACAATCCAGCTAACCTCTATGTCCACCAATACAATCTCCTTGTATTTTGTACCCCCTGTGCCGAGGTTCTCGCCCTAAAGTTCTGTTCTGTTCTGATAGCAAAACCTGAGCAGCAAATATATGGCCACGGCGTTTGGAGATGGTCCTTCTCGACTAGCTTGGTATAGGATACTGGTTGAGATTGGAAGTTCATGGTGAAGGTCAAGGTTGCTGGAGCAGAAGTTCTTGGCTCTTTCGGTAAGTGTAGAGATGAATCCAGACTTAGTTTTCCATCTGGCTTCAGCCAATCGTCTGTGTGCTACTCGTTATCAATTACCTATTGTTGTTAATGCCAGTCTGTTAATTACAAAACTTTATGCATATGAATCTAATTAAAATTGGATCTTAGTTCTCACTACCGCTAAACAAAGATCTGAGGACATCCCATTGGGGATAACGTCAGGCCGACCTTTCATCCGACCAACCACAGCGTCGCTTACCAGATCATGAAAGTGAAAGTCGGAATGAGATTTCAAATCATGCAACCTCGAAAACTGTAACACGGGATATTCCGAATAGAACGATAGTTACGGGCTTAACAAATGAATCCGTAAAGAAAGCTGCCTTCTGATTGGCTAATGTCGACTTGGTCGGTCAAAGTTCGCGCAAGGTCGGTCTGATGTGACCCGTAATGGGATGTTCTCAGATCTTTGTTTAGCGCAGCGAGAACTAAGATCTGATTTTAATGAGATTGTTATTCATATATACCTCTCTTCACTTGGTTGTAGTCAGTCCAACTTGATAACGCTGTAAGAATCTACATCAAAATGTCGACTAACGGTATCGGGTGGTCATATCAGGCTCGCTGACTTGGCTAATGCATGTCATCGTATCTGAATCGCGTGGATCGATGTTCATGATATCAATCACTGGATTGTCTGGTCCAGACTTGATTATTTAAAGACCGCCGTCATATAGCTGAGAGCGGCGTAAAACATCAACAACCAAACAAAACAACGGCGTGGAACAGCGGATATGTAATAGCTCGGGATAGGGTTGGCCGTAAATCGGTCTGCAGAGTTGCGTCCCTTTTTAGCGACATCAGCCGCTGTGTGGTCGTGTATGTCGGTAATTTTTAGTTTGTCATCCCGTCACGGTAACATGCCGCGCTATGCATTGTAACTAACATAATGTCCAAAGCGTCGTAAAACACAAGCTGCTTATCTACATTCCAAGTGATATAAAGATGAGTACTGTTTCTTTCGAATTACTAACATCAATGTCCAACCTGATATAATGTGAATGTTTCATTATTTGTTTGATTTGGTTACAAAATAGTTAGCAAATTTTGAGGAACTTTATTTCTGCGTCAACAAGGATAAATTGCGTGATTGTGTGTGTCTGTCTGTCTGTGTGTGTGTGTGCGTGTGTGTGTGTGTGTGTGTGTGTGTGTGAGCCTATGTTTCTTTTGAGAGGCATGTTGCTATGTGTATACACATAAACACATTTGCTATGTGTATACACACGAACACATTTGCTATGTGTATACACGTAAACACATTTGCTATGTGTATACACGTAAACACATTTGCTATGTGTATACACGTAAACACATTTGCTATGTGTATACACGTAAACACATTTGCTATGTGTATACACATAAACACATTTGCTATGCGTATACACATAAACACATTTGCTATGCGTATACACACGAACACATCTGCTATGTGTATACACGTAAACACATTTGCTATGTGTATACACGTAAACACATTTGCTATGTGTATACACATAAACACATTTGCTATGCGTATACACATAAACACATTTGCTATGCGTATACACACGAACACATTTGCTATGTGTATACACATAAACACATTTGCTATGCGTATACACATAAACACATTTGCTATGCGTATACACATAAACACATTTGCTATGCGTATACACGTAAACACATTTACTATCTGTATACACATAAACACATTTATTATGTGTTTACACATAGACACATTTACTATGTGTATACACACAAACACATTTGCTATGTGTATACACGTAAACACATTTGCTATGTGTATACACGTAAACACATTTGCTATGTGTATACACGTAAACACATTTGCTATGTGTATACACGTAAACACATTTGCTATGTGTATACACGTAAACACATTTGCTATGTGTATACACGTAAACACATTTGCTATGCGTATACACATAAAAACATTTGCTATGCGTATACACACGAACACATCTGCTATGTGTATACACGTAAACACATTTGCTATGTGTATACACGTAAACACATTTGCTATGTGTATACACGTAAACACATTTGCTATGCGTATACACATAAACACATTTGCTATGCGTATACACACGAACACATTTGCTATGTGTATACACATAAACACATTTGCTATGCGTATACACATAAACACATTTGCTATGCGTATACACATAAACACATTTGCTATGCGTATACACGTAAACACATTTACTATCTGTATACACATAAACACATTTATTATGTGTTTACACATAGACACATTTACTATGTGTATACACACAAACACATTTGCTATGTGTATACACACGAACACATTTACTATGTGTATACACGTAAACACATTTGCTATGTGTATACACGTAAACATATTTGATATGTGTATACACATAAACACATTTGCTATGTGTATACACATAAACACATTTCCTATGTGTATGCACGTAAACACATTTACTATGTGTAT